GCTTCTATTCAATACTAAAATTTTACAGGGTTTTCTTAAGTTTTATAAATTATTTTATATAATGAAGTCTTTGCTCTGTGTTGGTTTGGGTGATCGGCAGATTGAGTTAATTATTTTATTATTTTATTATATATATTTTTTTATTTTATTTATTATTATTTATATTTTATTTTCTTTTCCAGTTTTTATTATATTGTTTTTCTTTATATGTATATGTTTTATCCAGTGAAAAGGTATAAACTAGTTCTGGTACAGAACTCGACCGGAGGTTAGGTTATACTAGTATTCAGGCTTTAACAAATAATCACTACAAATCCAACAATTAACCCTAAGTAGAAGGCTGAAAGAGGGCATAGAGGATTTGGTCCAGGTTTTAGGAATTGTTTGAGGATTGTTCTGGTTTATTGAAGTAAGTGTTTCTTGTGCTTTTTGTCTTTTGGTTCTAACTGTTTCTGTTGGTTCCTTATATTTCTGATTCTTATCACCTGGCACATTAACAATGAACTTTATGCGAGTCTTTTTTTAAACGCTGAAAGTTATTTTTTATTGAAAGGCAACTTTTCGTTGCTTATATAGATAAATTTACATATGAAATAAATGGGTTAAAAGAAATAAAATAAAATAAAACTACCGTATTGTTCCTATTAATAAAATACTGTCGAATTGTTCGTTTAACGTTATTTTGCTAATAATACTGTTTTAGTCTTTTTTGTAAATCAGTATTTTTTTAAAAATTAGTACTGTTACACTTGGAATACGGCGAGTTAGTCACTCGAATTGTGTGATCTTCATGTCACATAACTCAACAACCTTTCAAAAGAGGCTTTTAGATTTGTCGAGCAGTGATATAAGACTTTGGTTATTGTTCTGAACTCAAGTCACGTAGCAGGCCTTCTTTCGTTATTGAGTCTCTTAAACTTCCTTTAATCAACTTACTATCCTTATCCTTTACCTTCAGAATAGTCAAACCAAGATTAAGTGGCAAGTTATACCTTTCTCAATAATACAATGACGATTACTTTATTACAAAGAGTAATTTGGGCAGCATAACGTCATCATGGGACCAAGTTTATAAATTAGCGAAAGTCTTTATACGTAAAAGACCAAGTAAGTGATTTAGCAAAATATATTTAGGAATTTTTGGGATCAGAGATAGAACACTAGATAATTTATTGTTCGAATTATCTTGCAAAGTTCTCGATATTGAGCAGAGGGGGCGAAATGCCCTTTATTTATATAAAATAAAACATAGTACAGATTTGAATAATTTAAATAATTTAAACAATTATAATTGTTATAATCATTATATCGATTATAACAATTATAATCGTTATACACATTATAATTATAATGATTGTAATTATTATAATCAGTATAATGATTATAAGTATTTTAATAATTATAATAATTATAATTATTATAATTATTAAAATCGTTATAATCATTATAATGCCAGGATCCCTATAAAAGTCAAGAATCGGCGTAACCGAAATATATACTGTGGATTGTCCAAATGACCTCAGACAGGGTCCGGCCTGGTTACATTTCCTGGTTCATCTTAAATAGGAAAAATAATAATAATCGATAAAACAGAAAAATCGGAAAATTCGGGAATGGTACCACATTTGACTGCGGTAGCTCTGGGGGCAGATTTGCCATTTACACCGGTTATCCATATGTTATACAAAAAAGGAAGTCGATAGTGGCTTAGTGGCTTGAACACATGTGAAAGAAATTAATCGCGTACACGCCTAAGGATTCGATTGCACAAACTGTACAGGTTGTGCCACCCACAATTTTAGCACGTCAACGCGAAAAATTAGATGTATACATAGGATAATATAGCGTAGTCGTTAAGAAATAAGTGTAAACACTAAAATAATAGCGATTACGCTTTATAAAATTAAAATGTATATAATCAGCTCAAGTTTTAATAAAGAAAAGTTCTAAGTGCATCATCGGTAAAATAAAAATAAATAGATATACATATACTTATCTTTGAAAAATTGTCCCTTTTGAATTCGACTTATAAATTTAATAAACCCTTCGAGACTCAATTTGACGGACCGGGTTGTTAAAACTCGAATTCATGCGTAAAGGAGACTATCATTAGATAACATCAGTAACTTGATAAAATATTGATTAAACGTTTAATATTATTATTGAAGGATTAAATGATTAGTTATAAGTCGGATCAATTGTTAATAATTCCTTGAGACCCCTATCAATCACTAAATTGCACTATTTGTTATTGAAATTTTCCCGAATCCCTATTTTTTTTTATATATTGATATCCCTACTATAAATTGATACGTCCGTATTCTCTACACTTCATAACTATTTAAACCCATTCACGTTTACGAGAATCATCAAATTCTTCTTAACCGTAAACTATTGGGGCTGAATTGGTATTTTATAAAAACCTAATTCGACCCTATAACCCAAAGCTCTTCCAATACAATAGTTACAATATTACTAATTACACTCAAATCAAAAGAATCAAAAGTTTATCACTGCCGAATCAAAAACTTATCGAATCGGCAAAAAATCATTTAGTCGATTTTTTACCAGATGTCCCAAAAATAATGAAAACAGCTGTAATATAATGGTCGGCCCGGTCGACCGGGCCGAACGATATTGACCTCAGCCTCGGCCTAAGGTTTTGTCATCGGCCCACATCACTAAAATTTACACATGTAACGGTAAGTAGATCCTTATTTTATAATTAATATTATAGAATTCACTACATTATAATGAGAATGACTTGCATTTTATTATTATTATTTTGCCTTTTTAATCATTTATTATCTTCTGGTTTGATAACTTTATTATCTTTTTTTTTCATCTTTATTATTATTATTTATTTTAGTCGAATTACTAAACTTGCATCGCGGTCAAGGAATGGAAATACATTGGAGAGATACAATGACATGCCCTTCTGAAGCTGAATTTATTGAAATGGTTTCAAATAGTATGTTTTTATTTTATTTTATTTTATTTGTTTTAATAATTAATATGATGTCTTATAATTTCTCTTAATTCAGAAACTGGTGGTCTGTTAAGATTGGCAGTTAAACTTATGCAACTGTCAAGCGAATCAAAAATGTATTTTTATTTTTATTTTTTTCCAATTTTATTTAAATAATAAATATTTTTACACGTTATTTTCTACAATTTCTTTTAAATAGAGATTATGTACCACTGGTTAATGATATTGGCATCCATTTTCATATTCGTGATGATTACATGAATTTGCAATCGAATAAGGTACTTTTTATATAGTTACCATTTTTATTTGACCTAAATAAAATAGATAAATTTACATGAATTATGATAAATACTTTAAATTTTATTATAGTATGCGGAAAATAAAGGTTTTTGTGAAGATCTAACTGAAGGGAAATTCTCTTTCCCGATTATACACTATTCATTCAGATCCTAATGATCGAAGGCTATTCAGTATCCTTATTATTTTCCTTTCGATCTATTTTTTTTTTAACCATTTGAATCTTAATATTTTAGATATTTTAAAATAGCATACAACTTCTATTGAGTTAAAACACTATGCTGTCAATATAATGAAAAAAAAACCAATTCTTTTGATTATACTCGAAATTATTTGGCAAAACTGAAAATTTTGTGCGTGAAAAAATTAAAGAATTAGGTGGAAATCCTGTCTTGGAAAAAATTTTAAGTGTTAAATAACAATTGAAAATTTTATTAATGTTCTTACAATATAAAAAAAAGATGTAATTCAATCATATTTCAGTATTATATTTATTATAAAACAAAATTATACTATTTAAATTATATCACTTCTGATACATGTAAATTAAAGTTAATAAAACAATATATATATATATATATATATATATTTGATTAATAGTTTATATATATATAATTTGATAAAACTTTTAAATTCTTAAAAAATTCTGTATTTGTTTTTTATTTATTCTCCCATTTTATTAATTATCGATCGGAGACTAGATCCAACCGAGTTTAAATTAAGCTATTCTCAAAATAACATTGAAAACAATGTATCCGACAATTAATAAAGCGGGAAAATATATTTTTATTTATTTATTTTTCATTTATATAATTTTAGATTATTTATTACTTAGCAATTAATTTTATTATGAATTTCAAATACTTCATATTCACTTACAGAAAAATAGTAGCTATTTGTCACTCTAATCGCTTTTTCATAATTACATTTACTGCAATAACATCCGTTTCGTTTACCACCACTTGTACCACTTTGATCGAAATTATTATACATGTGAAGATCGCTACAACCAAAGCTTAAACCGTCATTACAAGAAGAATAAAGAGCAAAGTGTGATTTTTGTATACGACTTAAAATAGAGGATTTAACAGTACCATTTTTCAATGAAAAAACAAAGCTTTTATCACATTTAGTATACACATAACTATTGATTGGTTTATCCCAACCTAGAGGATTATAACCACCAAGAATTTCATCAGTGCCATTAACTTTCATAACTACGACGATATTTGTTTTTTTATTACATAAATTCCAAAATGAATCTTTGGTAAAACCATCTCTGCTTCCACGAAGAAGTAATTCAAAATCATATGGGATACTTGTTATATCATACATATTAGGTTTATTATCAATCCATGTTGCAATTTCAACTTTATGATCTTCGGTGATAACTGTTGAAAATGGTTCTATTTTT